TGTATGCTAGAATTATTTAATCTTCCAGGCTTTTCGCTGCTTGATCCACCCCATTTTTGTCATATATCCTTGGAATAGCGATTAGTTGCTGTGTTAGTTCTGTGAACGTTGCCCAGTTGGTCGTAGTTCTTTTCATCAGAAGCTGCGCCCTGTCAACATCTCCTATGTTGAGTATTAATGGATTGTGGTCCGAGGATCCCTCCTCGAGAGTCTCGATACATGCTGTTTGCCTCGTGTTCTTGAGGATGGCGATGTCTAGCACTTCCGGAGTCCCAGCTCGTGTTGGCAACCTAGTGGGGATATCTGGGCCTAGAATAATGCCATTCTGGGCTTCTACCGTTTCTGCTAACTTGCGGCAATTGCAATACGGGTGCTATTCCACTCCGTATGTTTGCAATTCAGGTCGCCTATTAGCAGTTTCGCTTGGTTATTTCCTAAGAGAATTTGGATATCCTGCAGGTTCAATGCTTCTTGCGGCGACTTATACACTGATGTTACTGTTATTGGTCCTCGCGCAGTGTTGATTTGGGCACTGATTGCTTGGATTTCTGTATCGTCGATTCCGATGTAATGGTGATCGATGTCTCTCCTGATTAGGAGCGCCACTCCGCCTTTGCAGTTTGTGATGTCGTGCCTGTAGACCACATAATCCTGGAAATTGATCCTTGCGTTGCAACCTAGTTTGGTTTCCTCAAGCGCGAAAACTTCTGGTTTCTTGCTGTCTAGCAGAGCTGCCAGTTCAGGTTGTCTTTGCCGCAGCCCGTTCACATTCCAGGAGGCTACTGTAAGGCTCGTGGGCTTTTTAAGCATTTAGTCTTGCCAGCAGCGCCTGGAGAACTGTGAGAGACTGGGTATCCGCTGGTGCTAGGACTTTTGGGCTTGGGTCCCTCGTTTTCTGACTTTCCCTACGGGCAACCAGAATTTTCTTCTTTGAGTATTTGGGACATCCTCTCCCGCTGGCTGGATGGCCGTGAGCTCCGGAGAGAGCGCATCGGCAGTTTTTTTACTATCCCTCTGCCGGTTGGGGTATCTGGCATTCGGAGCTGCGGTAATTTTCGCCGCATTTCACACACCTCGGAGTGTTTTTACAGTTGCGCTGTGCGTGGCCGTAGCGCTGGCACCTGTAACATTGTCCTGGCTCCTTGGACTTGCGCTTTATCTCCACTTTGATGACCAGGCCCAGCAATCTGGTTATGTCCCAGATTGCTTGGTTGCTGGTTTTCACCAGCACCAGGTTAAGCTGTTGCTTGGTACGTCGGCTTATCATGCGGTAGGCTTCAGTGTCCTGGATCCCCTGTTGGCGAAGCTCGAGCTCCACCTCGGCGATCGCTAGATCTTCAGGCAACCCGCGGATTGCAGCGTGGAGTTTTTTGTCTTCTGGCAGCGTGTAAGTGTGGTACGGGCGCTGTGTTCGGTCCAAGAGGGCTGTCGCTTTCCTGAAATCGTCAGCCGAGGTCACATAGAGTTTTAGGCCTGTTTTCGTCGGAGATGCCTTGGCGATCACGATCCCTTCGCTGGTCAGGCTTTGCTTCAGAATCTTCCAATTGGATGTTAATGGGCGGGATTTTAACAGCCGTTTTCGGCTGAGCCGGGGTGTCCGTTTCCATTCCGGTCGTCTCTTCTGTGTCAGATTCGCTGGTCTCGTCACGCTGTCTCTTCCTGCTGTCGGCTGCAGCAAGATTACTAGCGGATGTACCGGTTGTGACGGGTGGGACTGTGGCTGCAGGTTTTGCAGGTGGCACCTTTTGGGCAGCAGCGTTGGGGGTGGTGGGCTTTTGGGCGCTTTTAACAGCCGCGCTAAAGCTTAGTTTGACCTTCTTGCCTGCTTTAGTTGGCTTGGATACCTGGCCCGTGAGCTGGTCTAACTGCCAGGCCATCTTCTCCATAATTTTCTTGAGGTCTGCCAGCTTTCTTTCCAGACCAGCGATCTCCTTGTTTTTATGCGCCAGTTCTTTGCGCAACTCGTTTTCCTTTTGCGTGGCCATATTGCTGCAACACTTTATAGTCTTGTTGCCGAAAGTTTACAGCGGTAATACCGCAAATCCCAGTGGGTCGATCGAGATCGAAAAAGGGCTTGCCAGGTATAAACCCGACCCTTAGAGGATAACAAAGTTCCCGGTTTTCGTCACTTTTGGGCTCCGTCAATCTTAATTATGTACTTACCACTGGCCTTAAATTGTCTATTACTCCAGTTCTATTTGTCGTAGCTTTGCGCTGCAAAAAGCACTACACGCACCCACTAATCTCACGTGGATAGTCCAAATAGTAGCTATTTTGCACTTTCAGACCGTAAATGCTCGAGAATGTTGTACTGGTACTGACCATAGAGAAAGTAAAATAAGAGAGGTGGCGGTATAATGTTAAATTTTGATTGATTTGGACAATTTTGATCCAGATTTAATCCATGATGTCATGGGGATCCATGACAGGGAATGAAATAATATATATCTAAATCAAAAAAAAAAAACATTTATTAAGTAAAAAAACACAAATTGTCTTCCAAAGAGTCCCAAAAGGATGAACTGGGTCGCTAAACTTGTGCCC